ATCTGTGCACTGCATATTTCCGATACTGCAATTTGGACTCGTTTTCAAAATCTATTAAATCCAAAGTTAGGGTCTGCAGGTAACGTTTGTAAAGAGTCTTATATAGACATTAATGTACACGATAAATTCATGAAAATCGCTTTCTACCCTCTCGTATCTGTTGCCCGTGTTTTCGAAATATCTAAAAATATGAATGATGGTGAGATTTTATAATTACACATGTTTTTCATTAACACACACCGTTTTAATAGCACACTTTTGCAATTTAAAACATGTGCGTTATATTATAAAATATCTGTATTTCCTATCAAAACAGTAGTGTTTTAGTATATTTAAAAAGGTGATTTTTGGAATTACTGATACACCTTTTCGTGAAAATTAAGCACAGTATAAACACACACAAATACATATGTTCAAAATACTACATTAAGTGTTACGGGGACATAAATGTGTCATTTAATGCAAGTAGTATCAACAGAATTGAGTGGGACTCGTAAGTAAACAATATGGTATATATGTCAACTAGAAAATCACCTAAGGTGCGATTCAACGCATAATGAGATAGGTCATGACATTATCTTCAGCAATTAGTTTTTATGTCAAACCCCAGAATGTAGAGACATTAATTGTATGTACGCTTACATTGTCTTACCAACCTATAAGTACAACTGGAAATCGGGACACGTGGTGAATTAAGTACAGAGCGCCCTAATGGATTTTGATGCTCCACATTCGGTGAACGGTGTTTGTAGTTTCAATCACATCTGATCATTCTCACATGAGATTAAACATTCTCGAAAACTGTTGAATTTGAAACATTCAAGAATGCAAAATCACCAACGATGTTTCAACCCAAAACACCAGATTATAAATGGTTCGCAAAGTGGTCGTGTGAATAACTAAAACACTTCCAAATTGTTTTATCTTGAAGTACTTCCTGGAATAAACACGCATGTTTCAAGCTAAAATACCTGACCATACATGTTTCATATATTTTTATGTACACGACATGTACACAACTTCATAAGAGCAACTAAAACAATTTCTCTCTAATTGTTTTAGTTTGAAATACTTCAGAAAACAAACACAAATGCAACGTTTCAACCTAAAACAACATGTGGAAAGTGTGATTAACAGAGCCAGCGTCTGCAGCTGTGTACTGCATTGCAGCGGCTTCCATTCATTTCATTATGTGCGTGTTGTTACGAATCGTTCGATAACTGATTAAACTCAAACGTTATTTTACATATTTCTGACTCAAATATCGCATTCCTTAAAACTATAATGATAATTAATTAAACTGACTGGATTAGTATATGCTTCGAAATTTATCGATTTTAGGAGTATTCGGTTCATTGACTACAGCTAATTGCATCATTAGCTGACTATATGTTACTGTTGCTGGATAGACCGCCCAATTTTCACTTCTTTATTAAAATCGGAATGCCATTAGTATATTATTGATCCTTTACCCATTCTTGATCCTAAAGTTGCGTTGCCAGTATGATGGCCTGTTGTGTTCAAGAATGAACTTCTGTAAACGGGTTATGATCATTCCTAGGTGGAACACTCAACTTTGAAGTTGTTTATCAGGGCATCACCATCCTATGTTTGAAGTTAAAATAATCCCGATTCGTTGAGATTTTTCCTCTAGCTGAGTGTTGGAATAAGAGAATAGATCTTAGCACATATTTGTTCTGACGATGAGTGAAGTGGACAACATATAATCGTGCCGGGGTCTATGGCCTTTCACACAGCGTTATTGTAAAACTCACCCTTTGACCGCCACATATTTTCCCGCCAACAAATTTACGTCTTTGATTTCGCAACATAATTTTGAACCATACAGACAGTATCTAAGATTGTTTTTATTGTTTTAATAAAAAGGCTTGCCAATTTTAGAAAGATTTCAGGAGCAGGCACGCTACTGAAATTTGGTAATGGAGGTTAAATAAAGCCCAATATTGCTCCACATTGGATTTCACTTTAAAGTTATAAAAGCCTAATGTTTAATTCGGCTGGTCAGTCACTCATAGCTTCATCTGGAATTGAAAGCCAGTCGTGAATGTTTTAGATGACATTCTCCCAGATGTTCAACGTGTCCTTCACATGCATGATGACAATCGTCTTCAGGCTGCCATTTACCCACTTGCAAGGCTTGATAAAACAGGCATCAATCCACAGTTGGAATAGATATACAGTGGACGAGTTGAACGCGACTTTTTAGGGCTTGCCGCATTCTGGGTTACTTTGACAGGGTCGTTGAATCTATTTGATTTGTTTTTTTAAAGTCATCCTCTACCCAACTAACTAGCTAATTGGTCTCAATAAATTTGACTTGTGTACAATGATGTGTCAATTATTTGTTGAAACTCGTCGACATTCATATATTAAAACCCCATAAGCTTCATCTGTTAAAAAACATGGCACTAAGTGTGGAGTAGCAGCAAGTCATGCCACGCCGTGCTATCGTATTTACTATTTAGCATTTATGACGTAAAGCAATTAATGATCGTGTTCATTCAGGAATGAAATGCTTTACTATCACGTTTATCTACCGAATGTGTACGTTACATTGAACAATTTGTGTATTATATATTCAAAATGTCAGCAATATCGTTCGATTTCAAAAAAAAATAACATTGCTAAATATGCACGTCGATCATGCTAATAATCAAAACAAAACAAAAATCATAACTGACAGATTACCGTTAATATATGCTCAAAGACACAATTCTGCAGACTGTAAGATTTGGCATTGGCTAATACCTTTCTAAGCTTTTGTTAGGAAGGTAATGTACACGAGTTAAAACAAGTTAGCATACAAAACGAACGTGGTCTCTTTTGGCTTCCTCGTACACTCAAAACAACAATCAAATCCTGAATCGTGCTATGGGACTAAACCTTCTAACGAGCGCGTCTATCGCAATGTTTTTTTTTTCAAATGTGTTCTAGTCTAATTATTCTTTTCAACTCTTTATTCTTGTGGTGTGTGTTTATACTAAATAAACCATATCTCAGTATAGACCTTTTTCCGTTCACTGCGAGAATCACGCGTTATGCGTGAAATCGAACGACAAAACAAGACAAACAAAGGTCATAGCGTCGTAGTTAATAATCGTTAATAATGTGCTGTCCACATTTGATGATAGGCAATTTCGATTAAGTAAGGGTATTCGGAAGCAATATTAATCTGTCGAAGATCGGCCGGTCAATGTAAGCTACGAAATAAAGAAATTCTCGTTCAAAATCAAATCGTTCGATTTTTTCGGCAGACGTTCGAGGCGCGTCTTTCATGCATCTCGCGAGATCTCGCAATTGTACGGAAAATCACCTATTAGCTCACTATCAAAGTAATATAACCTTGCACTGAACATATTTATTACTTAGGACAGAATACATGTAAATGAGTACAGATAAAGTACGATATATTATTTTGAGAAGTAAATTGTACATAAACATACAAATTACAAAATTAATCTTGAGATTCAAATAATCAAATATTGCAAAATAAGTTAAATGTAACCCAAGTCAATTAGACCTTCATTGGAAAATAATCGATAATCTTGAATGCTATATTACGTTATTGAAATGTTCGGTATCTACAGTAATGGAGATTACAGATACGTGCAATCACGTCACGTCAGCTCATATAAAACAGCAAGTTCTACAGTTTTTTTTAGTTTATGCTTCTTTTGCAACATATCACACACATTGTTTTATCCACAAAATGTTTTTTAATTAAGAACGATATTTGAAATACAATATTAAAGTAAATTGATTTCAAAAATTAAAAACTAATTTATTTGTGATTATATTAAAATTCAGCTTTCCCTCGCATTGAAAATGCCTATGTAGAACACAGTATTAACTAACATTGGGACAGTAAATATAATTATTAGGGTTAGTACGTAATATAAGGCTAAATTAACGGTAATTAAACCCTTGCATAAACCAGCTAATTAGACATACAGCTAATTCAGTGTTTGGCCTTGCAGGTGTGCAAATATAATAGAATCACACTATCTAGTTATTATTTCAATAATTGCACTAATATCAAACTCGCCCTATTATAGATAGAAGCATTGCTGAAAACTGAATAAACTAATCAATTGTCGCCACCAAACGCATTGCTGTTTGGCACAAAATCTGGAACAAGAATTCCGATGACACGACCGACTAAAAGTAGACTTCCAGTGACAAGGACCTGCAGATGGTCTGCTTCCATTGCACCGTGAGGCAGCATTGGATCCTGAGGTCTTGGTTGTGGTATACATGGATCTTTGCCACAGGCTGCCCACTGTACAGCATGCTTAGCACAAACAAAACTCGCAGATGTGGGTTTGCTTGGCATTGCATCACATAATTCCTCTTTCATTGCCTGAAACGTGCCTCTGTTCTTTTTGCAAATCGCAAGTTCGTTCTCTAGTATCTCAAATGAAGTGTCTAGAA